AACAACGTAGTCACCACGTGGACGGGGTAGCAGAGAAGGAAAAAAAAAAGAGAAGCGGCGCACCTGCTGGGTTGAGAAACTCTACCACCGCGCCTTTAAGGCCAGAGCAGGAGGCGTGGCCGGACAGGGGGGAGGCTCTCCCAGGTGACGTGAGGCAGAGCAGAGGGCGTGGCTTCTCCAAGCCTGGCTGCCAGGAAAAGGGCGGAGCTCGCGATGACGAGTCACCCGGGAGGGGGCAGGCGTTCATTGATAAAAACGCCGGGCTCCCTCGGGCGCGATCGCAGAGTAGAGAAACCAGGCAGCGCCACGCGCAGCCGGGGCCGGGCGGAACCGAAAACCAGCTGGGGCCGGCGCTACGCCGCGCCGCCCGCATGGAGCCCGCCGCCGCCGGCTTCTTGTCCCCGCGCCCCTTCCCGCGCGCGGCCTCCCTGCCGGCGCCCCCCGCTGGACCGGGGCCGCCTGGTAGTGCCTCGCCGCGGTCGGAGCCTGAGGTGCTGGCCGGGCCACCGGCTCCGGACCCGGGTCGCCTCATCACCGATCCGTGCAGCGGCCGTACCTACATCAAGGGCCGCTTGTTGGGCAAGGTAGGTCACCGGGGCTTTGGGGTGACGCTGGTGGAGATGGAGGGGAGCCCTCCGGGCCCGACCCTGCCTCTCCGGAGCTCCCGGACCGATGCATCCTCTCCTCCTAGGGGGGCTTCGCCCGCTGCTATGAAGCCACTGACACCGAGACCGGTGTAGCCTACGCCGTCAAAATCATCCCGCAGAGCCGCGTCGCCAAGCCGCATCAGCGCGAGAAGGTGGGTCCAGGCCCTGAGGACCAGGAGGGTAGGGAGGGGATGGTGGCATGGGAACCTTGGAAAGATGATGATCTCGCGCTCTGGTCGCAGATCCTAAACGAGATCGAGTTGCACCGAGACCTACAGCACCGCCATATCGTTCGCTTTTCGCACCATTTCGAGGATGCTGACAACATATACATTTTCTTGGAGCTCTGTAGCCGAAAGGTCCGAAGTAGAGGGGATTCATCGGGAACAGGGGTGGGAAAGGAAGTGGTTCTTAATACCCAAAGCTGGGTTCCTGTCACCCTTAGCAAGCACAGATGGAGGGCAGGTCTGGGAAGGCAAGCAGGGACTGAAACAGTGGCTTTCTGCAGTCCCTGGCCCACATCTGGAAGGCCCGGCACACCCTGTTGGAGCCAGAGGTTCGCTACTACCTGCGCCAGATCCTTTCTGGCCTCAAGTACTTGCACCAGAGGGGTATCTTGCACAGAGACCTCAAGCTAGGTGAGATTCCTGGATCTGGTTGGAAGGGTGGGGACCTGGGAGGGAAGGGAGGGAGTGAAGAATCTGACACGTCTCTCTGCCACTATCTAGGAAATTTTTTCATCACTGATAACATGGAGCTGAAGGTGGGGGACTTTGGACTGGCAGCTCGGTTAGAGCCCCCTGAGCAGAGGAAAAAGTGAGTGAGGGCATGATGGCCATGGTCTGTATGTGACACAGATGATGTAGTGTGACAGTGTGCCTATGCAGAGCAAGGTGACCTGATGTGTGTGGGATGAACAGGGATGGGGTGATGGGCTGTCTTGTATGTGTGAAGGTAAAGGTGGCAACCTAGGACAATCTTATGAATGTGTGCCACAGATGGGCCTTGAGTCCCCGACACAGATGGGAGTCTAGGGATTTTTGGAAAGTGTGTGGCTGATCTGTGTTGAATGGGGAAACAGGCCAGGCAGTGAGCATATGTATATAAGGCAGACTGAGTGTGGGAATGACAGGACATGATACCCTATGTGTCTAAGAAGACCCCTGTGACAGGGTGTGTGTGACACAGATAGCATGTGTGGCAGGTGAGTGTTTATGGAGGGTATGACAGCTGGGGTTGGTTGTGTGCGCCACAGACTGTGGGAGGTGACAGACGGGAGTGGGGGAAGGGATCAGTCATGGACCCTCTGTATTGACCTTTGGAGAGTGGGCTGTGATGGGGTCAGGGTCTCCTCCTGTCCTGCAGGGCAGCTGAGCAGCTGGACTAGACCAGACTCAGCTGCCATTCTCAACATCCATTGTCCGAAGACAAGCAGGAGCTCTCTGGCCTTTGGTGACAGGCAGCTGCTTTGTCTGAACTCGCAGCAGGGGCAGGAGTGGGGGCGGGTGTCGGCTGGGTCTGAGCCTTCCCCTCCCTGCCTCTTTCAGGACCATCTGTGGCACTCCCAACTATGTGGCTCCCGAAGTGCTGCTGAGACAAGGCCATGGCCCCGAGGCAGATGTGTGGTCACTTGGTTGTGTCATGTGAGTGCCGAGGTCATTGGCAGGCAGGTGGTAGGCGATGGATGGGGTGTTCCCACTGCCTGACCCCTGACCTCTCGCTCCTGGGCACAGGTACACACTCCTATGTGGGAGCCCCCCATTTGAGACGGCTGACCTGAAGGAAACGTACCGCTGCATCAAGCAGGTCCATTACACTCTGCCAGCCAGCCTCTCCCTGCCTGCCCGTCAGCTCCTGGCTGCCATCCTTCGGGCTTCACCCCGAGACCGCCCCACTATTGAACAGATCCTACGCCATGACTTCTTTACGAAGGTGTGTGGTTCTCCAGATAACCCTGCATGTTCTCAGAGGATAAATGGGAGCAGACGGGGGTCTCACTTCTCCGTTTGCATGACTCTCTTCCTCAGGGCTACACCCCTGATCGGCTCCCTGTCAGCAGCTGTGTGACAGTCCCAGAGCTGACACCCCCCAACCCTGCCAGGAGTCTGTTTGCCAAAGTTACCAAGAGCCTGTTTGGCAGGAAGAAGACCAAGAGTGAGTCGGGTGTTGGTGGGTTGAAGGTATAGAGCAGTAAAATGTTGTAGTGGCTTGTTGTGTTTGTTTGAGTCGGTGGGACCAAGTGTGGGTGCCTGCAGACCCTTGGGGAGAACATGTGCTGTCTAGACCCTTGGGAAGACTTGCCTGTATGAACACTTCAGGAAATGTGGTCAGGCAGGACACTAAGGGCTGTATTTTCCCTCGACACCAGATAAGAACCATCCTGAGGAACGGGATAATGTCTCTTGCTTGGTGAGCGGCCTGATGCGCACATCCATCGGTCATCCGGATGTCAGGCCTGAGGTGAGGTGCTCACGTGAGCATTGTTCCCCTGACTCACTCTGACCCTAGCAGCTGAGGGAAGCCCAGCATAAAAGGCTGATGAAGCATCCAACCTCGTGGTGGCTTAATTGGCTGTGTCTCATTAGCCAGCTGAGGGTGACCTGGGGTGCCCTGAGAGCCATCAGGGACAGGGCTGGACCATTGGGACTTTCAAGGATTTGGATTCTGGGGCCTAATCTCACTCCCTCTCTACTCAACTGTCTAGGCTCCAGCAGCTTCAGGTCTGGCCCCTGTCAGCTTGGTAGAGACAGCTGCTGAGGACAGCTCACCCCGTGGGACACTGGCAAGCAGTGGAGACGGTGAGGAGCCAGATGAGAGGTTCTGGAGGTGGCTGGGCTGGGTGCCAGGGGCCAGAAAGAAGTAGTTGGCAGAGGGACATGACCTGGGCCCAGGGAGGCTGTTTGTTGGCTAAATGACAGTGCCCTCTGTTCCCTCAGGATTTGAAGAAGGGTTGACTGTGGCCACGGTGGTAGAGTCAGCCCTCTGTGCACTGAGGAACTGTGTGGCCTTCATGCCCCCAGGTAAGGCTGGGCTCAGGTACATGGGAATAGTTTAGCAAGTTCTTTTTGACCTAGAGGCCAGGGGATCTCTTCACTCTTCTCCTCTCCCGTAACAGCGGAACAGAACCCAGCTCCACTGGCACAGCCAGAGCCTCTGGTGTGGGTCAGCAAGTGGGTTGACTACTCCAACAAGTTTGGCTTTGGGTATCAGCTGTCCAGCCGCCGTGTAGCTGTGCTCTTCAACGACGGCACACACATGGCCCTGTCAGCCAACAGAAAGTAAGTGCTACTCTGGGCTTCTCTGTACCCAGCAGGGGTGCACCTTGGTGTGTGTTTCTGTGTTCCGGGGTCTGGGGTTTCAAGTCCAAAGGGGAGGAACGATAACATGGCCTCTGCATCCGCACTCTCAGGATTGTGCACTACAACCCCACCAGCACGAAGCACTTCTCCTTCTCTGTGGGCTCCGTACCCCGGGCTCTGCAGCCTCAGCTGGGCATCCTGCGCTATTTCGCCTCCTACATGGAGCAGCACCTCATGAAGGTGTGTGGGCTGCATGGGGATTTTAGGGACTAATAATCTTCTGGTTCTCCGCTGTTGGTGGGGGGGAGGGGTGGCTCAAAGATAGTGGCTGATCATGGAAGGGCAGGAGACGTCCAGTCTAGTGACCTGGCCTGCCTGTCCTCTCAGGGTGGAGATCTGCCCAGCGTGGAAGAGGTAGAGGTGCCTGCCCCGCCCTTGCTGTTGCAGTGGGTCAAGACTGATCAGGCCCTGCTTATGCTGTTTAGTGATGGCACTGTGCAGGTAAGAGCCCGTCCTGGAGTTGGAGGGAAGGTCCTGTAGGCCCAGGCTTCTGGGAAGGCATGTGGGTCTGGTGTCCCAGCCCCGAACACTGTTACCTTCTGTGCACAGGTGAACTTCTATGGGGATCACACAAAACTGATCCTCAGTGGCTGGGAACCTCTCCTTGTGACTTTTGTGGCCCGAAATCGCAGCGCTTGTACTTACCTCGCTTCCCACCTCCGGCAGCTGGGCTGCTCCCCAGACCTACGGCAGCGACTGCGCTATGCTCTGCGCCTGCTCAGGGATCGGAGTCCTGCTTAGGTTCCAACCTGCAGAGCAGGCTGTGATCCAGATCCCAGGCCTGTGCCTGAAAGGCTCTGGCCCTTGCCTTTGTGGCCCTTCCTGTCCCTTTGGTGCCTCACTGGGGGCTCTGGACTGAATCCCCCAGGCAATCAGGGACCAACTTTACTACAGTTGGGCATGGTCTGCCATGGCCGTCCCTGTCTCTTCCCCTTTCTCCCTGAGATAAGCCTGAGCCTTAGCTCCCAGCTAGGGGGCATTATTTATGGACCACTTTTATTTATTAACAGACATTTATTTATTGGGATGTGAGCCCCAGGGGGGCCTCCTCCTGGGATAATAAACCATTTTTCAGAACTTGAAGGCCTTATCATTCCCAGTATACTGCGTGGACAGTGGCCACAGCAAACAGTGAAGTGTTAGCGAAGGTGGCAGAGGCCAATCCATCGTGGACTGCGTCCCAGAGTGCGCGGCTGACCACGTGCACGCCCTGTCTCCCGCGTGAGCCCAGCACCACACTGCACACCAGTTTGTAGCGGGGTAGGCAGAGCTCCCGCACACGTATGCGTATCTGCTCACACAGTGCCTGTGTCAGCTTCCCCGCCTCACTACCTGAGTAGCACACGTTGCTCAGCCCTGCGTGCAGGGCTGCCTCGAGGACACACTGGGCTCTTTCAGCTTCCCAGCGCTCCCCTGGTGCCGGTTCTGTGCGGTATGAGGGTGCCATCCTACGGGCAGGCACCAGGGGTAGCCCAGAAAAGCTAACTCGTGAACCTAAAGGGGGCATTGGGCTCAGGGATGGTCGTCGACCTCCGGGACCTACTAGGGGTCCTGCCAGTGAGTTGCGGCGTGAAAAGGATGGGTGTAGGCTCAGCAGGGAGCCACGACGGGAGGCTAGGCCTGGGCCTATAGGTCGGGTCTCATCGATGCTGGGCAGGTGACCTCCAGACTTCCCTGGTGGTGATTTTAGAGCCAGGTCTTTGGTAGTCTCCTCTTCCTGAGTCCTGCCAGCCATAGGTCTGCCTGCTGGAAGACCCACATTGAAGTTCACTGACTGAGATCTCCCTACACCCAGCCCTCCTCTTGCTCAGTGAAGTTGAGACTTTCTCTCTCTCTCTCTCTCTCTCTCTCTCTCTCTCTCTCTCTCTCTCTCTCTCTCTCTCTCTCTCTCTCTCCCTCCCTCCCTCCCTTCCTCCCTCCCTCCCTCCCTCCCTCTCTGTGTGTGTGTGTGTGTGTTTGAGACAGTCTCACATGGCCTCCAGCTCTGTAACTGAGGCTGGCTTTGGACTCCATCCTCCTGTCTACAATTTCTGAGAGATGGGACGGCAGAATGTACAAGCACACTCAGGTCTCCCTAGTAAACTATAGGCTCATATCACCATGTTTAGCTCTTCTCTGTTTCTTACCTGTGTCTTTGGAACAAGTAGACCAAATTGGGGGTGCATGAACTGCAAAGGGGAAGATTAGTGGCCATTAGAGAGATAAGCAAGGGAAGGGATTGCTTGTTTATGAGCATAGAATCTCTACCCAGACTTCTTTTCCCTTGGTCACTGTGGAGGATGACTGGGTGAGCAGTAAGTCCACTTCCTTTTCCCCCTCCCACATGATTTCACCAGCAAAATGGAGACATGAAACTGGTTTCTGGGTTTCTTCAATCCATAGCCAGAAGGGACAGACCCAGCTCCGTCACTCTCATAGGTCTCTCTATCCTCAGAAGTATAGAACTTAATCATCTTCCCTGCTCTAAGTAGGGTGTGACTTAAACCCCCCTTGACCTGCTGCAGGCAACAAGTGAAGCAACCGTCTCTCGTCTCAGCCGTCAGAACCATCTGTGGATGGATGCCCTCTTCTCCTGAAACTCCCTCAGGCACCTGACTCACCTGCAGCCTTTGGCCTCCAAGCTCTGCCGGCCCCACAGCCTTGACTGAGCTGGCCTGACTGGCCTGTGGGTGGGGAAGGCTTGTGTTATGCAGTTACCATGGGGCTGCTGTGACAAGCATACTCTTCCCTCCCAGAACTCCTCCCGCCAGCCAAACTCCGGACTAACCTAAGTGCTACTGCTGTGAGCACCTGCTGAGGGGAGGGAGGGTGCCCTGAGTTGGGGGGAGGGGCCCCTCAGGGACTTGGAGTTCTAGATTATCACAGATGAGGGGCAGGCGTAGAGGTTCGCTCATCAGAAATGTGCTGCTTTTGAGTCACTATTTCTTATGAAATGGCCAGTCAGCAGATCTGCCCATTTGTGAACAAGTTACAGGGGCCTGGGATATGCCAAAGCCTTAGACCAAGGGGGCGGCTTCTTAGGAATCCAGTATCTGGCCTCACAGGAAAGAGTACGTCATGGTTTTACATTCTCCCATCAGCCTCAACAAGGACAAACATTTCCGCTTCAGGGCAGAGCTAGGGTGGGGCTTGGATGACTTCCTTACTTCAGAGCTGTGTGCTGAGGAGGGGAGGCATATAGGCTCAGTGGGAAAGACCCAGGCCTGGCATAGCCATGACTCAATGGTGACTCTAAGCCGTCTCTTGACTTCTGCTGACCCACTCAGGTGCCCTGGGACTTGTCCCCAGCTGGCCAAATTGCTTTCATGCCCCAGTATCTAGTATATAATACCTCTCTCCCTAGTGCTGATTGCTTCTCAGGGATGCCAGAGGCTGTGTGCTGTTTGTTAGAACTGATACCTCACCCCCAGGCAAACTATGTCTGAGTTCTCAGAACCACACTTAGGGGTGAGAATTTTCCCTCATGAGGTGATGCCTCAGGCTTGGCTATCCCGGTTCTAAAGTGAACCTGTAGGGGAGGGATTAGGAAGGCAGGCGGAGGTCTTGAATTCTGAATCCAGTGCATGCAGGAGCCAGCAGGAAGACCCTTGACCTCTTCTTAGAGCTCTTCTACCGATGAAATATTTTCCTAGGCGGATTGGGAGATGGGCGGGGCCTTCCCAGGCTCAGCTCCAGTTTCCATGGAAACCCACAGGTTTCCCACCCAGCGGCTGTCTGGGCAGGCTCCCAGCCTGGGCCTCCCTCATCCACCACTCTTCTCCAGCCTCAGCTTCTTTGCGTCCTCTCTGCCTGCAGCCCTTCACTGAACCTCAGGCCTTCTTTAGGGGCCGAGACCTCCTCTTAAACTTCAGCTCCTCACAAACAGGCCTCCACAGCTTCTGCTCTTCTTCTCAGGCCTCTCTTGCCTGCTAGGTCATTCCCCCCTTTGTTCTGTTGCTCATCCCACACATGGAGAACCCAGGACTGATTGTGCATGGGCGGGCTGCACCCTTTTCCACAGCACTCCGAAGCCTTGTCAACAATCCCCGGTACAGGTGAGGCAGTGCCCTCCGCCGCCCCCCCCCCCAGTGGAAACCCTAGCTGGTTCTCATGGGCCTATGAATTTGAGGAGCCTAAGGGTGAAGAGGCCAGGAAAGAGCATTTGGCCTCCCTGGTGAGCTCAGTCTATGAGGAAGTCGAGTAGCGAGTATGTCTACTGGCCTGTGTCCATGCTACCCTGAGTCAGAGGCGAGGGTAGTGGGGGATAGAGAGGAGGGCAGCTGTGTGAACTCAGGCAAAGCAGTTCCTTCCTTCTCTGGACGGAGGAAGAGATCCTTAACCCCCTCCCTCGGCCCGGCCCTGAAAGGTGGAATTTGACTTGACTCCCTCCCGGCTCCCGTGGGTGTTAAACTAAGTGATGGGACTTCTTTTCTTGAAGAGACAGGAGCAGAGGACTCTAGGGATCCATAAGAGGAATGGGAGCACACAGGATTAGGTCAGAGACCCAGACAGGAAATAGTTCAAGGCTGCTGACCTCCCACTGCTTGCTCAAGAGGCTAGTGCTGTCTGAAACCAGGAATAGAGTTTACTGGCGGCAGGGTTGGTCATGGGACACAGAATGCCACTTCCCGTCTCCACTGTCTCAGAGGCTGCCTGCTCCCCCAGGGTTAGCGACTATCACCATTCATTTTGAGGACAGAGTGTCACAGTCTGGCCTAAAGAGTGGACCCTTAGGCCCTGAGCTGGGAGTAGAAGGCACTGGAGACTGAAGCTCTCTGTACTGCCTCCCCCTCTATCTTATGCAGAGTTTCAGAGGCCCAGAGGCTGGGACCGGAAGTGATTGTGAAGATGGAAAATGTGGTCTCAACCTCATGATGGTGTATCACTGCCATGTCTGTTTGCAGTCAGTGTGCTCTGAACCCCACATCCTCACACCCTCCTACGGGAGGAAGAGTGAAGATGCTGAGTTAGCATCTCATGGAAGCAGTACCACAAGGAGTTTCCTTTCCCCCAAGACTCAGACTGGGGAGAGAGCAATCTTGCTTGCATGAACCCTAGTATCCCCTGCTGAAATTTAAGAAAAGCAGCTCAATAGAGAAAGACACTGTACAACAGAGTTCAAGCAGAAGGGTTTTTTGTTGTTGTTTTGTTTTGTTTTTCGAGACAGGGTTTCTCTGTATTGTTTTGGAGGCTGTCCTGGAACTCGCTCTGTAGACCAGGCTGGCCTCAAACTCAGAGATCCACCTGCCTCTGCCTCCGAGTGCTGGGATTAAAGGTGTGCACTACCAACGCCTGGGCCCAGAAGGGTTTTTTATTAAGGGAAAAGGATTGTAAAAAGGAGAAGGGGAGGGGGGAGACTGGCCTCCAGGGACAGGAGCAACAGGAGAGAGGAAAGAGGGGCAGAGCGAGAGAGAGGGAGAAAGGGGGGACAGACAGAGGGAAAGAGGGGAGGATGGGAGGTGGGCAGGGCCCTTTGAAAAGGGAACATAGTGAATAGGCACAGGTGGTGCTCTTATGGCCACAGCTGAGTGCGTATCCTGTCAGAACCCCAAGGACAGACCAGTACAGATGCCTGAATACTACCATCCCCTCTTTGACCAAGCGTAGTGAACTCCTCTGAGACCTGTGGTTCTGACTGAGGAGTCTGAGAGTCAAAGACAGAAAGTCACAGGGTGGAACTGAGACTAGAGTTTAGGCCTGTGTCTCCCAGACGTGGGTTTTGACCTTACACAAAAAGAAGCCCCAGCGTGGCAGAGGCAAAGCCAAAAGTGTAATGAGGTTCAAGATTCCCTTCTCTGGCCGGGCGTGGGTGGTGCACGCCTTTAGTCCCAGCACTCAGGAGGCAGAGGGAGGTGGATCTCTGTGACTTCCAGACCAGCCTGGTCTATAAGAGCTAGTTCCAGGACAGCTCCCAAAGCCAAACCCTGTCTCAAAAAAGAAAAAAAAAAAACAAAAAAAAAAAACAAAGATTCCCTTCTCTGGCTTTCTGTCCTCTCTTCCACAGCGATGTTTGCTTTGTTGTTGGTCAAGAACGGCAAGAGGTGTTTGCCCACCGGTGTTTGTTGGCCTGTAGATGCAACTTCTTCCAGAGACTTTTGGGCACAGAGCCGGGCCTTGGGGTACCTAGTCCTGTGGTGCTAAGCACTGTGCCAGCCGAGGCCTTCTTAGCTGTGCTGGAGTTCCTGTATACCAACAGTGTCAAGCTGCACCGATACTCTGTGAGCCTACCAAGCAGGGGTCAGGGTAGGAGAGAGGCCGGGATGCATGAGGCAGAAGTCTGCACGTTATGCTGTGGGTTGAGGGGCGGGGAAACTCCCTTCTGTCCCCTCAGCCACCACCCCCTGTGCAGGTGCTGGAAGTGCTGACAGCAGCTGTGGAATATGGGCTGGAGGAACTTCGAGAGGTAGGTGTCTCAGGCAGGCCCTCTTGTTCCCCTTGCCTTTCAGTTCAAAGCCTCCTTCATAGTCTGACCTTCTCACACAGACAGAAGCATGCACACAGGATCTGCACATGCTCAGTGTGCGCTGAGTATCGAAAGTATTTATGGCTGGTTCTGCAGTCCAAGGGTAAATTGGCTTTGGTTCCGTGGTTGGAGAGACATATGAAGACACTTAACATGCATGGGTCATGGTGCTTCAGGCCAGTATTCCCAGAACTCTGAAGGCTGGGGAGGATGGCAAATTTAAGGGCAGCCTGAACTACCTAGGGAGTTAAGGCTACCCTGAGCTACAGAGACTTAGTTTCAAAAAGCTAAACTTAAAAGTAGGGGTCTAAGTGTGATAGGCAGACTGCTGATGTATAGAGATTCCTGGAGAAGGAAACTTTTGTGTTAGAACTGGAAGAACAAGTAGGGTTTTGTTCAGGAGAGTGGGAAGATGGCATTATAGTCACAGGACAATCAAGGAGCTAGTTAGATAAGTAGTGTGGTTGGACAGGGAACCTGAGTGTGGGATGAATTGGAAGGGTACCAGGAAGCTGGTTCATTCAGGTACAAGAATTTGTGCTTTAGGCTGGGAGTATAGTTCAATGGTAGAACACTTGCCTAGCATGCTATAGGCCCTGGGTTCAACTCCTAGCACTAGCCAGGTATGGTGGTATGTACCTGTATTTCCAGCACACTCCGTAGGCAGAGTAGAGGGAAGGATAATCCAAGTTTATGGCCAATCTGGTCTACAGAGTGAGTTTTAGGGCAGCCAAAGCTACACAGCAAGACCCTGTCTCAACTTTCCCTTCCCTGGAGTCCTTTTAATGCAAGGGTAGTGGAGATTCACTGAAAGTTTTGGACAAGGGAGAAAGGGATTGAGAGAAAAGGAAAAAGGAAAAGCCTGTCAGGCCAGTCAGATTAGTGTCAAAGTCAAGAGGGTGTGACCAAGACAGAAATGGCAGTCCAAGAGAGGTGGTGGCTCTGAGAAGAGACAGCTGGCACCACCCAGGGCTTTTCTGGAAGAGGGAGATGTCAAGCATAACATCTAAGTTTCTGTTAAAAAGAAGTGTCATTGGGTCGAGGGGAACAAGTGGAGGAAGATAGAAAGGGAGGAGGCTGGAGGTTTGCCATGGGTCTTAGTGGAGACAAGTGTACTAGGGGGTGCTTTGGGATGGCCTTTGGTAGCCTCCAGGCCCTCTAGGCTTGCAAAGCTACAGGTCTGCTCAACATTTCCCTGTTTCCCAAATCTGGGAGGTCAAGATGACTCTGGGTCTGCTGGGAGTCTGAGAGACTCACTGTTCCAAGCCTACTTACTGTTTCTAGGGTAGGACTTGAGGTCTTGAAGGAGGGACACCGCCACACAATTCACTTTCGTTTCTGTCCCCAGTTATGCCTGGAGTTTGTGGTGAAGGTGCTGGATGTGGAGTTGGTTTGTGAGGCCCTGCAGGTAGGTATTGCTGGGCAGCCCTGGGGAGGAATCTGACATTTTTTTTTCCTGAGACAGGATTTCTCTGGCTTTGGAGGCTGTCCTGGAACTCACCCTGTAGATCAGGCTGGTCTTGAACTCACAGAGATTGGCCTGCCTCTGCCTCCCGAGTGCTGGGATTAGAGGTGTGCACCTCCACTGCCAGGCGGAATCTGATTTTTAGTATGTGGTCCTGGTCTCTCCACACGGCAGAGGCCTTGACTGGCTACATCTTCTAAGGAACGATATGAGGCCATGTGTGCTCAAGGATGCTTAGGAGATAAACTCTGTGCCCAGATCTGTGGGGTGTGGAGTACATCAGGAAGGTCGTATGCAGGAGGGAGAGTCAAAGGGCTGGGAAAGGCAGGCATGGTGACACACTCCTTTAATTCCAGTACTCAAGAAGCAGAGACATTCAGATCTGAGTTCAAGGCCAGCCAGGGCTACATAGTGGTCTTCTATTAAGAGTGGGAAATGGAGCCGGGAGGTGGTAGTGGCACATGGCTTTAATCCCAGCACTTGAGAGGCAGAGGCTGGTAGATCTGAGTTCAAGGCCAGCCAGGGCCACACAGAGAACCCTGTATCGGAAAAAAACAAGCAAACAAACCCCCTAACAACAAAAAGCAGAGTGGGGAATGGCTCTAAGCAGGGATGGAGAAAGGTGGGATGTGGAGTTTGGAAGCCAAGCTTGGACTCCAGGACTGAGTTTAAAGGGCCCGAACATGGCCTCCTTTAGCATCTGCTTGTGTGGTGTTCACGGGCCACTGCGCTTTCCCCAGGTCTAATTCCATGAGGCACTGCCTGTGCTGTCAGCCTCCCCGTTTGGGTCGTGCTCAGGCTTGTGGCAGTCCTAGTGTGCAGAGCTGGGTTACACGGCCTCTCCAGTCTCTAGACTGACCACTTTCACTCCGCCCTCAGGTTGCTGTAACCTTTGGCCTGGGGCCGCTGCAGGAGCGGTGCATAGCCTTCATAGAGGCTCACAGCCAGGTACAGCTCCCCAACATTACACTTGTACCCTGTCCCCCACCCCCCAACCCCCGCCATTCTTCTCTGCCCTGATCGATACACCGATCCACAGGAGGCGCTCCGCACCCGTGGCTTCCTGGAGCTGTCGGCCACTGCGCTGCTGCCGGTGTTACGCAGTGACAAGCTCTGCGTGGACGAGGCTGAGCTGGTCCAGGCAGCCCGAAGCTGGGCGCGCGTGGGCGCCGTGAGTGGGATGGGGGGGAGGCCAGGCCCTCAGGAATTCGGCAAGTGGGCGGAGGGCGCAGGCCGCCACTCGGCCGGGGCTCAAGGATCGACTCCACAGGCGGTGTTGGAGCGACCGGTGGCCGAGGTGGCGGCTCCAGTGGTTCGAGAGCTGAGACTAGCCTTGCTGGCTCCAGCGGAGCTGAGCGCCCTGGAAGAGCAGAACCGACGGGAGCCGTTCATCCCGGTGCGGACGCCACGTGGGGATGAGGAGCCCGGGCCCCTGCCGGGGACTTCGGACTGCGTGGTGACCAGCTTTCTCCTACAGGGGGAGCAAATTGTGGAGGCGTGGAAGTGCCACGCCCTACGGAGAGGAGATGCGGCCCGGGACGCACCGTGCAGACGGCGAAGGGGAACTTTACCCCGGGATCACCACCGGTTTCTGGACCTTCGGTTCAAATGACCTACTTCCGGAACGTGGGAGGATTTTGATCTCACCCCAAACTACAGCTCCCGAGGTGCTCTGCGCTCGAGGCGAGCTTCCGCCCCCAGCAGGCCTAGCGAGCCGGGGGTCGGGAGGACCGTTCCCCGTCTGAAGCAAAACCCAAAGCCTCCGCCTAGAAGTAGGGGCGGGGTAGTGGGCCAGAGGTTGGGGCTGTACAGTGAGCTCGGGTGACGCCCCGAGGCCGGAAGTGAGGGTGTCCTTTGTTCCGTGAGCTCACCCCGCATCCTGCTGCCGGTCTGTCCTCTGTGTCTCTGTATTCGGATGACTCTGGTATCTATTTAGCTCATCGTCTTTAAAACAAATCGGCTTCCTGGCTCCAGGCTCAGTGTGTTTTCTTGCCTTCTCATCTTCTCTCGCAGCCCGGCTCAGGAACCTGGCTCTGAGTCTTGCCTACCTCATGCCCTTTCTCCATGCTAATAATACTTTGGAGTTGGTTTGGTCTGCAGCCTCTCTTCTGTCACTTCCGGGGGTCTTTTCTGCCCTTGCCCCCGGCCAGTGCTCCCTCACTCCTTTCCCTCAGTGCACAGTGCATCCGTGTGATCGTCCCATCCTTGTGATTGTCACGCTTGCCCTCCTGAGTTCTTCAGCGTCCTTAGTTGCATTCTAGGACAAGCTACTAAAGTTCCTAGATAATTAGAAGTTCTTAACTCTGAGTTTAGGCATTCCAGAATTAACTTTTTTGGGGTGGTGGTGGTGGTGGATAATCTCACTGTGTAACCCCAGCTGGTCTAGTGCTCACTACGCCAGGCTAGCTTTGAACTCACAAAGCTCTAACTGCCTCCCTGGTACAGAGATTAAAACCATCATGTACTGTTACTTCCAGCTAAATTAAAACCAAAGAAAAAAGCCAGGCAGTGGTGCCGCATGGCTTCCATCCCAGCACTCGGGAGGCCGAGGCAGGAGGATCTCAGAATTTGAGACCAACCTAGTGTACAGAGCTAGTTTCAGGACAGTCAAGCCTACACAGAGAAACCCTGTCTCAGAAAAATTAAAACAAAACCTCTTAAAGAGATGGGAAGGAGCCGGCGGTGGTGGTGCATGCCTTCAGTCCCAGCACTTGAGAGGCAGAGGCAGGCGAATCTCTGTGAGTTCGAGACAAGCCTTGTCTACAAGAGCTAGTTCCAGGACAGCCTCCAAACAAAGTCACAGAGAAACCCTGCCTTGAACCCACCCCCTCCAAAAAAAAAAAAAAAAGAGGCCCAGCATTGATGGCGCATGCCCTTAATCCCAGCACTCAGGATACAGAAGCAGGTGGATCTCTGTGAGTTCGAGGCCAGCCTGGTCTACAGAGCAAGTTCCAGGACAGCCTCCAAAACAATACAGAGAAACCCTGTCTCGAAAAAAGAAAAAACAAAAAAAGATGGGAAGGAATCTTAAGTCTTTGCTCAGACTGGCCTGGACTTACTGAGCTGAAACAGTTCTGCCTTGGCACGCCCACCTCCAGTAGCTGGAACTGCTGTAGTATAATATAGATACGAGCCATCTCTCCAGCCCCCAGCAAGTCATTTTGGTTTTTTGTTTGTTTGTTTGTTTGTTTGTTTGTTTTGTTTTTCAAGACAGGTTATCCTGGAACTAGCTGTTGTAGACCACACCGGTCTTGAACTCACAGAGATCCTCCTGCCTCTGCCTCTTGAGTGCTGGGATTAAAGGCAAGCGCCACCACCACCCAGCCCCCAGCAAGTAATTTTAAAGAAGTTGTAAAGCAAGATTTAAAAATGAAGAAGTGGACAGTTGAAAAGGAAATAAAATTATAATTCTGACATATAAAAATGTATTGCTTATGGGTTAAAGATAGTTATTTGTATTCTCTCTCAAGATTGAACAGGTGGCTACCCAGTGGGTATTCATGTTTGAACAGTGAACACTGAAAGTAATGCTGCTTGTATGACTATAATTCTCTTGCTTTTGGTTACTTTATTTTACACCAGCTTTCGAGGCCATGTACTAAGCTAAGCCTATGCTTAGCTTTGCTACAGCACTATGGTGGGAATGGCTCTCTAAACTGTTTTCAGGAGTTTAGAAATCATTCCAGTTGCTTGAAACCGTCATTCTTTTGCTTGAGGACAGAAAACTCCACCTTTCATGCCGGCTAACATGGCTGTCTTCTGGACATGTGTTTAGGAGACAAACAGCATGGCGGACTAGGCCTGTAGATGTTAGCATTCAGGAAGTGGACGCAGGAGGATCAGCAGTTTGAGGCTAGCCTAGGTTAGCTGCATGGTGACACCTGTTTCATAAAACAAGATAAATTGTGCATGGTGGCACACACCTTTACTCCCAGCACTCGGGAGGCAGAGGCAGGCGGATCTCTGTGGGTTCAATGCCTGCCTGGTCTACAGCTACAGAGCAAGTTCTAGGACAGCCTCCAAAACAGTACAGAGAAACCCTGTCTTTAAAAAAAAACAAAAAAAACAAAACAAAACAAAAAAACCAAAGAAACTTATAATGACCCTCCTGCCTCAGCTTCCCAAGTGACAGAATTAATTACAGACATGAAACACCATACTCCAGGTTAGGAGCTGGCTGTGGTGGCTCATGTTTGTAATCCTAGTGCTGGGGAACAGATCACTCTGAGTTCCAGGACAGTTTTGCCTGCATTCCAGATACCTGGAGTACAGAACGAGTCTTTTCAAAAAACGAGCAAACAGAAAATGTGGTGATGCTACAGCGAGGACTCAGCTGCTCTTGGAAAGGACTGAAGTTCAGTTGCTAGCACCCAGGTCAAGTAGCTTACTACCACCTGTAACTCAAGCCCCAGGGGGTCTGATGTCTCTAGTCTCATGGGTGTCTGAATTCCACATACTCACCCCCACACACACGTAGACATAATAAAAAAAGAGATAAATCTGAAAGAAAAAGGGTTGATTCAAAATTGTTACTCTTTTTTTTATATTTTATTTTCCAGTTTAAATTTAGATAAGAAAAATTGTTACTCTTCATGGGAGTGTTTTTGTGAAAGGTGGAAGATGCCAGTGATACGAAGAAAAACCAGAGGATGGGTGTGTCCCTTTGCATCCATCCTCCCAGAGGTCCAGTGCCTCAGCTGCATGGTGTAGGTTAGAAGGCTGTAGTTTATATACATGTGTGTTTTCAGCAAATAAGTTGTATCCTACAATCATGGGGAAACATCCTCAAGTGTATTGGTATCCTGTTGGCCTGGTGCTGAGTGATAGCAACCTGCTATCCACCTGCTGGGTGGCACCTGACTTCGCTCCAGAGAGCTAGCTCCTAGTCTAACCCATACTTTGACCTGCAGGATACATTTTGTTCACCTATGTGAACTTTGTTTGGGAATTTCCCAAGAAAATGAAGGCCTACGCAAAACTTGGTTCAGGAAACCCGGAAAACCGTGTGATACCTCTGTGCATGGCATTATCTTTTTGGAAGCCTCATTCAAGTTCTGAGCATATGGTGATCAACTGGCCAAAATGTAAATATGGAGAAAAATAAGAATGCCTTGGGTGTAGGGAGTGTACTACTTCAGTTCCTTGAAGCTGGGGTCCCCTGCAGCTGCAACAGCTAAATTCAGTCTTTTTTTTTTTTTCTGAGACGGGGTTTCTCTATATTGTTTTGGAGGCTGTCCTGGAACTTTCTGTAGACCAGGCTGGCCTCGAAGTCACAGAGATCTGCCTGCCTCAGTCTCCCAAGTACTGGGATTAAAGGTGTGTGCCACCAACACCCGGCTCCTAAATTCATCCTTTTTTTTTTTTTTTTTTTTTTTTTTTTTTTGGTTTTTCGAGACAGGGTTTCTCTGTGGCTTTGGAGGCTGTCCTGGAACTTGCTTGGTAGTCCAGGCTGGTCTCCAACTCACAGAGATCCTCCTGCCTCTGCCTCCCGAGTGCTGGGATTAAAGGCGTGCGCCACCAACGCCTGGCCTAAATTCATTCTTAAAGTGTCTGAGTTTTCTTTCCACAGACCCTGGTAAACCCACATCCATGCCTCGCCTTCCGCATCACTCTGGGCAGGAACTCTTTATGTTCCGTGGGTGTGCAAATTAAAAGACCTCAGACTGGTTTTGGGAAACCAGCTGTAGGAAGGTGGGTAGGCAGAAACGACCAAGAGGAGGCTCTGGATTCCAGGCCACTCTCTTCCTGCTTCTCCTCCAGTTGCCTGGGCCTCGTCCTGTCTTTCCTCATACCATCTGGATTGGTAAATTGTTAGGCCCAGTGCTACAGTGACTGTTTTGTTGTCTCAGACTGGCAGAGCACCCCCAGTTCAGACTGACCAGCCCAGCTCAGCACTGAGAAGCAGGACCACACAGGAGGCATGCTGCCACCCTCTGGCAGTTGTCATTCAGGTTATCTTTATTTTATTTTTTGTTTTCCCCCCTTTTTAAAAAATCTTAAATTAGAAACAAGCTTGTTTAATATGTCAATCCCAGTTCACTCTCCCTCCCCTACTCCCCTGTCCCCCACCAACCCCCTATCCCATCCATTTTCTACTTCTGGGTGGTGGGGGGGGGTGAGGTCTTCCGTGGGGAATCTTCAGAGTCTGTCATATCATTTGGAGCAGGGCCTAGGCCCTCCCCCATGTGTCTAGGCTGAGAGAGTATCCCTCTATGTGGAATGGGCTCCCAAAGTCCATTCGTGTACTAGAGATAAATACTGATCCGCTGCCAGAGGCCCCATAGATTGCCCAGGCCTCTTAACTGACACCCACGTTCAATTTCCCAGCTATCAGTCTGGAGTCCATGAACTCCCCCTTGGTCCAGTCAACTATGTCTGTGGGTTTCTCCAGCCTGATCTTGACCCCTTTGGTCATCACTCCTTCCTTTCTGCAGCTCAATGTTTAGCTGTGGGTGTTTGCTTCTGCTTTCATCAGCTACTGAATGAAGGCTCTAGGATGGCATATAGGGTAGTCATCAATCTCATTATTGAAGAAGAGCATTTAAGGTAGTCTCTCCACTATTACTTAGATTGTCAGTTGGGGTCGTCCTTGTGGATCTCTGGATGTTTCTCTAGTGCCAGATTTGTCTTTAAACATATAATGGCTTCCTTTATTATGGTATCTCTTTTCTTGCTCTCCTCTATTCTTCCCCTGCCTCAATCTTCCTGCTCCCTCATATCCTCCTTTCCCCTCCTCTTCTCCCCTTTATTTTTTGGTTTTTGAGACTTCTATGTAGCCCTTGCTGTTCTAGAACTCACTACATAGACCAGGCTGGCCTTGAACTCACAGAGATCCACCTGTCTCTGGTCCCAAGTAAATCAAAGATGTATGTTACCATGTGTGGCTCCAGGTTATCTTGTTTTTAGAACAGTGTCTCACTCTGTAGCTTAGGCTGGTCTCAAGCTCACAGCAATTCTCCAGCCTCAGCC